TAACTCTCTCTCTCTCTCTCTCTCTCTCTCTCTCTCTCTCTCTCTCTCTCTCTCTCAAAGTCGGAAATTGATCGCGTTGATAATTACAATTGCAAAGATGTGGAATAATAGAAATACTATTTCGCAATCTGCGAACGATTTCGAAGTTTTCTCGTGGAACTATACTTGGTCTGTTGAAGCGGCATCTAAGGAATGATCACAATTTCCGTGTATACAATTGCTGGTCTATGACGTAAGTAATATTGACGTGATGCACCGTGAGCGTTAGATTAAACGGTATAGATCATAAATATCAATCTATTCGAAAGCTATATAATTTTTAATTTGGACGTAATATTATTTTCTATGAAAACATGATTTGCAATAAATACGACGACAGGAAAATTTTTTGTTTGATTAGAGCAAGAGTAATCCAAGGATCGGCCGCTCGTTCGTAGAGATAATCGTAGAGGCAAACACACGTTTAGGCGCACGTTTCCATCGAGTTGCACCGCGTGAAATATTCCGTGAAATATGAGAAGAGTACGTACAAACGCGATCGAAAAGTCAGACGGTTCATTGCGTAAGATAAGCGCATGGATGCGCTTGTTGGATGAATGAAGCGACAAAGGGACAAAATGAGCCTGAGGAAAAGGCCGCGTTGGAGAGAATGGCAGAAACGCCTGCGAGACAGGCGCTGCGCCGCTCAATCGCCAATTTGGCAATTCGAGTTACTCGGATCTCACCACTCAGTCACGAAACGTGAAACGACCATTGAATTAGACGCGATTCGTGCGTTCGTGATTTCACTCAATGTACTCACTAGTGCCGAGTGGGAAAGGGTCGCTCGTATCAGAGATTAGACAAATTTCGAATTCTCATTATGGGAGAATCTTACGTTTTAATCATATCTTAATCATTTGTATCTTTTATATCGTGTATAATTTGTTATCTTAACGTACGTTGTATTATTGCCATTACTGCTATAATCAGTTGATTAATATAAGATAACTTTCCAAGAGCTCGTAGATATATTCGTAAAGTTATTTAATTGTTAATTATTACAATTATTTATCTTCTTTTACATATAACATAATCGTCTTTAATCAATCAAAGTGTGAAAACGAGAATCCGAATCGAAATGCTTATCTCGAGTTCATCCCCGTTATTCCAATTGGTTATTCCAAATGCAATTTTGGAAATTGCTCGTCGAGTGCCTATCAATAATAATCGATCAATCGGTATGATGCTGTACGATGTCTTGATGTTTGATTGAACTCGCGACTGTGACTCGACAAGGAAAGACTAATTACTTACGCAAATGTGCTTATCGCACTTTCGCGCACCGGGGGCCGCAATGGTGTATAGGGTTTTAGGTAGAAAAGGACGAAATGAGTATAAAGTGCATGCGACTGTGCTTGTGCCGTAAAATGTAAGTCGGTAAGCCCAAGGTGGCCCGTACCGGTCGCCTCGACGCGAACCGATTGATTCATTGATTTGTTGACGATTGCAGCACGCCGACAGGAAATCATAAAGATGACCGAGCAATTGATCGAAAGCATCAACACTGGAGACTTCGAGGCGTATACGTAAGTATGAGTAACGGTATGTCTCTTTATTCAGAGAGAGAGAGAGAGAGACAACAAACAAGCCATTCCGTACGCGATAGAAAATTACCGAATAACTTTACGATATGTAGATCAGATATGTTAACTTTCTCGCGTCGATCAAAGTTCATTTTTCAAATTACTTAAAGAATGCTCGCTCATTGTCAGATAAAAGGAAATACGCGAGAGATTTCGAATAATCTATGTATAAAGTTTTTGATTAAAAGAAGAAGTTAGTTCAGCTTTTTACGACGAATAAAATGTCGATATCGATATTTTGAGATATCTTCGTTTTACGTTTTATATTTAAGCGAAGCATTTTATTATTCGCATTTGATCGATATTTAAAATCAGATTTGCCCGGTACTAACTTGATGGAAATAGCCAATTCCTCCCGATAATACGTGTATATGAAGATTGGCTAATGTTATTAAACAAATGTAAACAAATGTTTGACGAGAGGAAACATTGAAGTTAAATGCAACAAATAACATTACTTAAGATTTTACTTACTTAACTAAATTTAAATTTAAAAATTATCATTATTACAACATAAGCTGCGATAATCTCTTTTCCTATTTGCAGGAAGATCTGTGATCCACACCTGACCGCGTTCGAGCCGGAAGCTCTAGGTAATTTAGTCGAGGGAATGGATTTCCACAAATTTTACTTTGATAATGGTAATTACGACTCTTACATTTGCATCATCCTTGATTTTTGCGCGCGCGCGCGCGCGCGCTTGTCATTCGCCGTATTTAACGAGTTTAACGAGTAGTAATAACAGGTTTTAACGGCATGCGATTGATCTAGTTGATCTAGCTGACGTTTATGTTGTAAGTTCACATTTGTCATTTACAGAGTCGATGACAAGTTATATCGCGCGTATCGTAAGACTCGGAGAAAATTTCGCAATTTTCGAAATGAAACTTTCTCATCCCTTTGTCATAGTTGAGCTCTGTCATTTCGAAATTTAGCGAGCGTGTACGAAATATCATCAGCGTATTGCTTATGACTCATTTCTCACTTTGCTCAGTTCATTTATAAAGGATTCCAATAGAAATATCATAACTCTGTACTGTACGCGTTCTATACAAATTATTATTGTTCATTGCTATATCTCGACAGATTTATTTTTGAAAAGTGGAAATGTCTACTTCCGAATTTACATTATTCAATTTGATTATGGATAAAAATATTAAATGGATTCTATTTATGAAATACTTCAATATGAACGCATTTGTATTTTTATCATTTTTGTTATTGTGCAAAATTGATAATTGGTATCCGATTCGCGCGAAGCGACAAAAGTTGCTCCATCACGCAAACAAGTCTCGCACTATTCAACTCGACGTTTATTCATTCAGGGTCATTCTCTAAATGGTATAATGCTAGTGAAATCGGTTGATAGATGTGCACGCATGTTCGTTGGCACGGAATGTCGCACTATATCGTTAAAATTAATATTAATTCAGCTTCTCACTGCACTTCCTTCTAATTTATCGACTAACAGATTAATAGAGCTAAGCGGAGTACCATGTCTACTATGAAATTGTCATCGCCGAGGAGATTCTTTAGAGATTTTATTCGTACGCGCGTGCGTTTAACTGTGTCACGAGATGTTGTTCTTTAAAAAACATTGCCATAGAAAACATTAAATTTAAATCATTTATGTATAGGTAAAGATTTGTAGATAAAACATATTTTAATATGTATTTAATTAGATACATCACAGTTTCCAAAATTTTTTCATTTTCTTTCTTTATATTACCTTTGAGACTTTTAAAGCCAGAATCTTGAACGGTTTAAAGAGATTATATTTATTCTTATTATTTAGTATTAGTTAAAGCACTAAAAAATTTTACGCAAGTGCTAAGTGCTAAAAATTAATAACGAGAAGATATATGTTCTATGGAATCAAATCTTTATTTTCTACGATCTTATAATGGAAATTTGAGTTTCGAAAATGAATAGGATAAAATGTCTCGTATCGTAAGGAATAAATCGGACGATTTTTCATGAAAAATTAAAAAAAATATCCGTATAGAGGAAACTCTGTATAATGTTGCACTCACCATAGGCTACAATTTTACCTCTCTTCCCCCCCTCCTCTCTTCTTCCTTTTTTCTTTCCTCCTCTTTTCTTTTCTCTTTCTTTTTCTTTTATTTCTTTTTCTTTTTTGTAATATCTTATTTTGCGCATTGTGAGAAGCTTTCACGCCATTAATAAGTCACGCGACTAACTTTTCATTTTGTTTCTCTTCAATATCCTAAGCAGTCCTGGGGAAAAATTGTAAGGCTGTCAATACGACGATTCTGAATCCTCATGTCCATCTGCTCGGCGAGGACGCTGCTTGCATCGCGTACGTCAGGCTGACGCAGTACATGGACAAGTGAGTAGTACGAATATCTAAAAAATAATAAACTAAGCCTGTAGTAATGTAAGTAAGATAAGTCTGTTATAAGTTTGCCTTAAAAGATAAAACAAGTGAATTTGTCCAATCCAAATTTGGATACGCATTTGTATTAAATGAAAATTCAATACATACTTTTATAGTTTTCAATTTTCGTGGTTTGGATGGACTCTTTGTTTTATATTTGTGAGGAGAAAATAATTTTCTTTGCGATTTCTCATATAAATCGTCAGATTCCGTTTTGTCACATGTTGTTGTATTTGTCAATTTTTTCTAAACTCGTCATTAAACGTAAGGATTTTTCCATACGATACGTTCTATAAGCTTATAATTTATAATACAGTTGAAATTTTGTGTTAACTCGCACATTTCTTTTACTCTCAGACAAGGCGTAGCGCATACTCAACAAAGCGAAGAGAGCCGCGTATGGCACAAGAGGGACAACAAGTGGCAGAATGTGCATTTCCATCGAAGCGCGGTAACGGGCCCATCTCCGTTCTCCTTCAACCACAAATAAATCGGCCAAGAGGACTGGTCCTGTCGCCGTCGCTGCCGCTCTCGATGAACGCTCCTTCGAATATGCGACAAAGCGCGAATGAATTAACGAACGTTAGGAATACGGAGCACAATGTATTCGGGCAGCCTCATGTAACACGTATATATACACACACGAAACACGTACACATAAAGGCGGGATTACAAGGAGAATAGGCAACGATATAAACGCGGCATTTGAAACCGAGAACGGTACACATGTATACAAGACACATTTACATATATACACTTAAAGGTAGTATCAAGCGCGACAAAAACCAAACCCGCAAGATATGGCGTAACCGCGCCGGCATGTATTACTCGCTCCAGTACCTGCTCAGCGTACTTACTACCTATATTTACGCGTGCACCGCGCCACGTGTGCCTCAGAGCGTCGACGAGGAAACCACGCGCGCGAAATCAATGAGCGATCATCGGAAGCGCGAGAAAAGAGAGCAGGGTTGATCGGTCGATCGGTTGTTTGACGAATACCGAGGTAGATGTATTCTTATCCATCCTCGGCTAACGAACGGGATCGCAACAATGAGAAAGAGAGAGAGAGAGAGAGAGAGAGAGAGAGAGAGAGGAGGAGGAGGAGAGAGAGAGA